CACACACACGCACACACACACGTGGTCACACACACACGTGGTCACACACACACACACACACACACACACACGTGGTCACACACACGTGGTCACACACACACACGCGCACACACACACGTGGTCACACACACACACACACACGTGGTCACACCGTATAGCTTCATCTCACTGATCAGCTTAATATAAACGCGTCCGCTGGCAGGGAGGCGACCCCAGTGATACCAGTCTCACTAAAAACTCTTTGGTGGTTCTGATGGTTAATCCTGCGTCACCGGGCCACAGAGGTGAGCCGCCGCTCGGGCGGCTGACCGGTGATTTATGGGCGCACAAACAGGAAGCTGTCAACAGCTGATTCCTATCTCCGGTGTCCGTGAGCGCAGCAGAGCTCAGCTGACTCGAGGCACACAGACTGTAAAGTAAAGATGGATTCTGTGACGGCTGTTATCCAAATATGAAAAAATCTGATTGGCTGCTGTTCAAATATCAGAAATGAAATATCTGCTGATGGACACTTTAAGCTGTGCGTCGCTGTGTCGGGGAGCACTGGCATGTTCACGTTAGCGCGTTTGCTCCCTCGCAGCGCCGCGGTGTATCGATCAGCCCTGCAGTCATGTGTAATCAGTCAGACGGGACGCCGCTGAACCAGATCGCGTGCGATCAGATCTGAATGTGGTCTTTGTATAAATCAGTGTACACAAGTGTGAAAGGCCATGTGCCCCGAGGACGACGACCCAGACAGCAGGACAGGGCTGGGATCACACGGGTGGAGGTGAAGTCCAGACCAGCACCTGCCGGAGGGGCCCTGTGGAGTCAGGGGGTGCAGGATTAGACGCAGGTCCTCCTTAAACAGCTCCTGCTGGGCGATATCGATGCGTTTGAAGGATAAACGGCTGGAGGCACAGCTGACGGTAATGAGCTGAGGCTGATTTACTGGATGAAATGAAAGCAGCTCTCATTTGTGCTCCTGTCTGCTTCTTCACAGAGGCGCTGCTGTTTCCTTGATACCTGCACCCAGCAGGATTTAGCGCAGAGGCAAACAAATGCAAATGCCGGCCTAATTACCAGCAGTCACATCCGGCCTTCGCGGTCTACGTGGGCCGGGTCCTTCGAAGACCGAGAAGGATGCAGCCGACGTTTTGGGACACAGCTTGTGTGACGCTCTGCTAGCATTAGCTGATAGCTTAGCCCTCCACCCTTCATCCACCGACAAAACGCTGACATGGGTGTGCACATCCAGCTGCTTTTAACTAGCACAACACACAGTGACACACACACTCGAGGGGAAGAGACATTAAGGGTCAAAAGGGTCAAACCTAAACACCTCCATGTGTACCTGCGCATAGTAATGAGTTTCTGTCACAGAGACCTCGTGAGGAAATGTGACAAGGCTCCAGACAGAATGTCTCAAAGACGGCCTAAATAGAGCCACCTTATCTCCAAGGTGAGCTGTGTGTGTGTGTGTGGGGGGGGGTCTCAGGCTTGTCTCACTGAATGAGAATTGACATGAGGGCTTCTTTGGCTCCGAGCAGCAAACTAATGATTTAAGGAATGACACACACACACACCTGATCCACTCCCAAAGACACACCTGGACAAGTCCTGAAATTGACCAGCCCCTAGTTGGCCCCAGCTGTCCCCTGGGCTGGGTACAGCTCCCAGAGATTAGACTGAGCCGGGCTCCTCCTAATGTAGGTGTCAGTCTCATAAAGCAGGTTTGTTTAAACTGGGCAGAGCTGCAGAGTGACGATGACTGGCGTCCTGAGTGGACACACATCGTCCTCCCACTCTGGGACTTCCTGTCTGTTCTTCACGTCTTTGATCTTTTGCGTCGCACTTTTGTGATGTTGAGCTTTTTTACCTGCTGCTGTTTGATTCGTGTTGATTTCAGAGGAAATGCCTGTTTGTGCGATCGTGTTGGGGTGATGGTGCCAGAATACACCCGTGTGAATGTGTTTGATGCAGCGGCCTGTAGTGTAGGGCAGAGGATAACGTCTGGATCAGCTGCTGGTATTTTCACTGTAGCTACTGTTTGTGTGAGCGCGCTCTCGCCACGTATCTGTAGCAACATGCAGTGCTTGTGTTGGAGCTGATGTGTCCCCTGTGATGCACAGGTCCCTGAACACATCGCCGTCCTCTGCAGTCGCACACGTCTGTAACCGTCCTGTGTCGTGGTTTTGGGATTGTCGTGCCTCAGAGTTCCTGACTTTGGATTGGCTGCTCTGAGCTCCGATCTCTGACTGAACGTGAATCTGATTGGTCAGTTGACCTCGTTTCATCACCGGCGCTCCCGGCTGCAGGTCGCCACCTCCTCCTCTCTCAGCCTGTCATCCCATCACCACGTCATTGTACGCTGGATGTTTCGTCCTCTGCAGCGTGTGTGGGGCGTGGCCTGGTGCTCGAAGCACTAATGCATGCAGTAATCATTCTATCAGCTTTCCTCAGATCAGGGCTGATTACATGGCAGCCATGTTGGAAATGACCAGAAACGGTGAGCTGTATGTGACCATGGCGACGCGCTCGCTCCTCAGGGAGCAGTTTGTGGGCATGCTCAGACTCCTCCACGTTCTACCGCCTGTCTCCTCCTCACACCTTGTAATGGAGACGAGGAAGGTGTTGGCACCAGCGGCCTCCATCATGTTTCTGAGGAGGAGGAAGAAAAGCGATATTTTCAGATCCAAAACTGGAGGAGGGAGTGACGCCTCCTTCATTCTCCTTCATTTCTAGGCCAGGGAATAAAGAGGAGGAGGAGTGGACTGGTCACCTCTGGGACCGCCTTCTCCACCTTTCATTTGTCAGGTGTGAGGTGAGGAGACGACAGGAAGGAGGAGGTGATGGAGAGGAGAGCGTTCACCTTCATGCTCACTCACTGTGACACCAGCGAGCGGAGGAGGGGCTTGCCTACAGGGGGCGCCCTCGGCAGCTCCTATTGACCTGCAGCACACAAACACACACATTCTTGTTTTTATGTCTTAGTGAGGACATCTAATTGACATAATGCTTTCTTGCTGCTTACCATAACCCAGAGCCTAGCTGTAACCCTGACACTAAAACCACATTTTGAGTCTAAAAAATGTCTTCAAACTCATGAGGACGGGCATTTTTGTCCTCATTAGTGACTGTTGGTCCCCACAACCATATGTAAACAGGCACTCACACACACAGAGGTCCTCAGTGGGACTGTGGGGCCTTCAGGAGATCAGATAACATCAGAGAACAGATGTTCCTGTTATCCACCTACTGGTCAAACCTGCTGTTTGCAAGGGAACCCAATCAGAAGCAAGCTGTTAAAGGGGAGGGGCTAAAACAGCTTCTTTCAGACACAGATGAACCGTGTCCTCTCCGAGGCCCAGGATCAGATACAGAAGCATTATTATGAAGCAGGAGTCATGGAAAGCTGCTGTCCATGAAGCAGTGGAGGAGAAAAGGAACAGAGAGGGGTGGAGTTACTGCTCGTGCAGCCTCGCTGGGCGCCCTGCTAACGATGGTGGTGTGGACACGGCACACCTGTGCAGCTATGAGAGCTCTGTGTTAATGTGCTGACAGTCAGAATTGAACGCCCGTCGGGTAATGGCTGAGCGATATGCTAATCCTCAGGATTTATAGATGTGGCTGAAGAGCGGTGAACTCTGACATGTCTGTGAAGGTTCTCAGTCATCCAGGTCATCGTAGTCAAAGGAGCTTGCAAAGAAAAGCGTCTGGACTTCTTTAAGTTGCTTGAAGACGTTTCACCTCTCATCCGAGAAGCTTCTTCAGTTCTAAGGTCAAATGGTGGAGAGTCCCAGATATAAACCTAGTGGGAGTGACCCCCCACAGAGGGACAAAAGGACCCCTGATGATCCTCTAATCACATGATTAGGTAGATCAGCCACAATCAGCCAGAGTTTCGGGTGAGCTCATTGTAAAACCTGGCCCCACCCTATCATGTGATTTCCTGAGGTCAGATGGCCCAGGATGTGAGTGGGCGTTAAGGCGTCTGGGAAGGATCTCAAAACTGGATTATAGATGGCAGAGAGTTGGTGTCGTAAACCCCGCCTCTCTTCAAAGATGGTCACTCACAGTGGACATAGATGCTTCTTTCACTCCTCTTTCAAACCATCTGTCCTCTCTGTCCAACATGTGAACATTAGTATGGGCTCAAAATGTGGTCATAAGTATTTTGTACTTGTAAAAAAGATTAGTGTGTGGACTTAGCCAAAAAGACCCTGCAAGTTACAGGTACGAATTTTGACCCTATTTTTCTTCCTTTCATCTGATTGGTCAATGTCATGTCAATCACAAATGTAACAATCCAATCAGAGAACAGATGGGTTTGGCTGTCGGGGGGGGGGCTTTTTTGAACTGCCTTCTTTGCTCTTCTATGTTGTTCCGTGCATGGCACAGCATAGAAGAGCTCCTAAGACGGTGAACTCTGACCTCTCTGTCTAACCTTCACCTCTTTCTGTGTCTTTCTCCTGACAGCTGACGTCCACCATGACCTGCTGACATCACCGTTCCACCGCCCCCTCCTCCTTCCATTTCTTTCCTCGCAATGGACCTGACCTGTTGGCTGTCGCCATGGCGACCCCCAACCCTGCTGCTGCTGCTGCTGCTCACTTCCTGGTTGCCGGCTGAGTCAGCTTCAACCACGCCCTTCCCCAAAGACCTGGAGCCGATCAGCGTGGTCAGCTCAGAGCGTGAGTATTGCGCGATGGTGATGATGTCCCACTGTGGTCGTTTCACATCACTATAGCAACCGTTCCTTCATCTGATTGGACAGAGACAATCTATCTCTGCTGTGTTCCTGTTTGTTCTGATTTAACTGACCACACCCACATTTGTGAGCATGCTCTCCACACACACACACACACACGTTTATGTTTTTGTGCGTTTACAGAGTCGTTTCAGTACCCGGGGTTTCAGGGTTTGCTTCAGGACAACGACACGCTGAGGCTGGGCCTGGACTTCCAGAGGATGCTACGGATCAACCACGTGCTGTACATCGCAGCGAGGTCGGCACGCACGCACATGCACGCACGCACATGCACGCACACTTGTGTGTTTTCAGCAGCTTGAGTAAACTAGTAAACGTGACCTGTGAGGACACAATAGTGAGTTTCCCGTAGCTGCACACTGCACTGCAGTAGTGAGTCGGTCAGCAGGCTCAACGTGAACATCAAAGTGTTCCTGTGAGCTCTAAATCGTTTCGGTCTCTTTAAATGATGATTTGATGTTCCTGTCAGTGTAAACCTGAGGCTGGAGGAAATCAAAGAGACATTTTTCACGTTTGCTGTCCATAAATTGGTTTCATTGTTGATCCTGAAAATCAAATCCAGCTCAGAGAGCAGCAACAGTCAGGAATGACTCGTGACCACGAACATGCCTTTACTCAGGTGAACGTCTGCCAGTGTTTCCTGCTGTCGGCTGTACTCTGAGAGGATCTTGGTTCCCGTTTGTCACATAAACAGCAGAATGAATATTTCTGGAAACAGGAAGTGACCAGTCGGACGTACTTTGGCCTCCGGATGGTTCCAGCCTGCCCAGCTGATGTTTAGCTCTGTGCTGTTAGTTTGCTCATTAAAATATCCATGAAGTCCGGGGCTGTGAGTAGGACACACACCGCGGAGCCATGGAAGAACCAAAATACTAATTCATTCATTCAGAGCGTCACGAGGACTTTCTGCCACGCAGCAGGTCTTTGTAGAAAGTGCGACGGAAGTTCTTACGTCAGTTTTTTGGAATATCACAATAGCCCTTTGGAGCTTGAGTATTATTAAGATCCCTCACCGTGGTGCAGAGCACAGATCATACATGAGGATCCGTGTTTTTAGGACACGGCGAACACGCAAGGATCTGAGGCGAGCCTTTGAAGATGGCCTGAGAGCGGTCGAGACTTCATCACTGAATATGTTTTATCAGAAACATTAGAATCAACAGCAAAATCAATAATAATGAACAGCTGTCAGTGTTCCTGATAGGAAGTGCATCATGGAGGGGTTGGATGGGCAGCACGTCGATCGTAGTCCATTAAAGAGGCTGACTCTGTGCTTTGACCTCCGCAGGGATCACGTGTTCGCAGTCAACCTGACGACGGCTTCAGGGGAGGTCGTCCCACAGCTGGTGAGTGCGATCGCTCAGTAAACACACAACGACATGGCTGCGTGGAGTTGTCGGGGTGTCGCCTCCGAGCGTTCCTCACACGCGGTCTTAGGATAAAATGTTCAAAGACAAATGCAACGATCTGTGAGTGCACATGAAGGCAGTCAGAGCTGTGAGGTGTGGGGCCGAGCATGAAGCTGCTTGAGCTGTAAGACATCAGACCGAGGCTGAGCTGAGCAGACCTCCGAGCAGCTCGCTGACAGGAAGCTCAAAGAGGTTCTTATACGTGCGTTTCTGCCTCGTTCACATCACGACACTCACGTGTCAGAGCGTGGGTTCAGTGTCACAGCTGGCCCTATCCATGCAGAGTTAAAGGGAGGGGACCGAGGACAGACCTCTGTGGCACTCCACGTCACAGTGGGTGTGGAAGAGCATCACCAGCAGCGTCGTGTGAAACAAAAAGTTCATTTCAGAGAGAACTGAGTGAAATGTTCTGCTTCGAGCTCCCTCCTCCTCCCGTTGCTGCAGCTCATTGCTTTGAAGTTAGTGTGTCAGGCTGCGTGACGATGACCCTCCACGTGGACGCCAAAATGTCCTCCAGCGTGAGAGAGGAGCCAGGTGGAGGTGAGAGATGCTCATGTTCTGTTGGGCAGACAGAAACCGCAGATGTTTCCTTCTCCTCGGCTGGCCGTCAGCGGCGATGATGTCAGCGTGCCGCGCTGCTCGCTGCAGCCTTTGGTGCTGATGGGTGTCTGCGTGGACCTGCTGTTGACCTGCTCACGGTGCTCGCTGTAAATATCAGCGCGCACAACAAAACTGTGCGTGACGCACAAAGGACGCGCTTCCTTTGATCTGCACACGTCCTCCTGATCAAAGAGAAGAGGTTACGGGGGCTCCTCACGGTAATGGGCCTCCCGGTGCATTGTGGGACGGCGGGCGGCGGCAGCTCTTTGATGTGAGCTGTTACTCTCGTTATCGGTGCTCCGACCTGAGCGGCACGGCGAGGACCACGTCGGTCTGTGTGCGCTTTAATCTGCAGTTATGGACTCGTGTTCTCGTCGGGTTTAGCACGGCGCTGATCGCCCACATCTGTTCTTTTAGGGGGAGAGACGGGAATAATCTGTATCCAGCTGGGATCTAATCCCATTTCTTTAAATCCATCATGAATAAAAGGGTTTACAGGCCCGTAGCCCCGCCTCTTTCAAGCTGCAGGCTGGGCTTTTGTCTGTCGAGGTTATCTGTAGGTGTGTTTACATTTCTGGCATGGTATCAGACCTGTTGACGCTGCCTCTGATGCACGCTGAGTGTGAGTGAAATGATGCTCGCTGCGAGGCTGCACGCTGAGGCATCCTGTTTCTATTTTAAAACCCAAATCAGCCCAAATAGGTCGCATTTTTCTGTGGAGCGATGACTCAGCAGCAGAGAAGTGAAGCATGCTGGGTTAGGCGTAGAACGTCGGTGCTGATGGAGAGCGCGAAAAGGTGGCTGCTTGGTGTTGTGGTTGAGACTGAGGTTTGTGTGTGTGAGCTGTTGCTGCTCCGCCTCCTCGCACGCGTGTTCACATCTAATCAAACCTCTGTCCCCCACATGCTGAGAAAATCACGCCCTCACTTTCCTCTTCCTGTGTTTCAGAAGCTGACGTGGAAGTCCAACGACGTCAGCAAGTGCACGGTCAGAGGGAAGAACAGCGTGAGTTCGCCTCCACCTCTGCTTCTGCTGCTCCGTCAGTTTTCCTCACAGTTCTAACTCTGCCTTTGTGTTCCAGGACGAGTGCTACAACTACGTGAAGGTGTTGGTGCCTCGAAACGACGAGACGCTGTTTGCCTGCGGGACCAACGCTTTCAACCCGACGTGCCGAAACTACAAGGTGAGCTTCAGATGGCGGCGTGCTCGGAGAGGGGACGCGCTCGGAGAGGGGGCGCGCTTGGAGAGGGGGCGCGCTCGGAGAGGGGGCGCGCTCGGAGAGGGGACGCGCTTGGAGAGGGGGCGCGCTTGGAGAGGGGGCGCGCTCGGAGAGGGGGCGCGCTTGGAGAGGGGGCGCGCTCGGAGAGGGGGCGCGCTCGGAGAGGGGGCGCGCTTGGAGAGGGGGCGTGCTTGGAGAGGGGGCGCGCTTGGAGCGGGGACGCGCTCGGAGAGGGGGCGTGCTTGGAGAGGGGACGCGCTCGGAGAGGGGGCGTGCTTGGAGAGGGGGCGTGCTTGGAGCGGGGACGCGCTCGGAGAGGGGGCGTGCTTGGAGCGGGGGCTTTAAAGAACTCACAGCTGCGTTGTGTCTCTCCTTCTGCAGCTCAATATTAAATTCGATAGCTTTTAAACTGCAGCGTGTCGGAGTTCCTCCAGCTCTTAATTAGACTTTAATTTTATTAATTTTCTTTACGTATTTGGCTGCGTGTGGATTATGAGACAGTCGATCATTAAGCAAAGGCAAGCTCATTTTTCCCCTCTTCAGCTTTTTCTCGTGAGTGTTTGAGGGCTGAATTACAGTCATCCCAATGAGACGTGTTCACCGCATCCTTTCACACAATCCTGCACGGACATCAAACCCACTTTACATGGACAGCCCACTTTGACCTTCACTGGACCAGACCAGTGAAACTCCCCCTCCTGTCAGAGTCAGATATGTGAATGTCAGAAGAAGAAGAAGCCGTTTCTGTGTTTCCTACATGATGAAGAAACTCTGCAGTGAAGAAATAAACGTTTAAACTAGGAGAGAAGGTTCCGCTCGCTCGTTGGCCAGACTGTCCTGTAAATTTAAAACAGAAAGTTGTTGTTTGTTCACGGTGCTTCCCCCGCTGTTGATCCACTTTAAAAAACAGATTTCTAAAGCAGACAGTCAAAAAACAGCAACTTTGATCTACTATAATTACTTTAGTGTGGGATGAAAGTCCTCAGAGTAGAGCTGTATGAGCCGTAAGAGCAGGAACAGCTCTGAAAGTTCTTAAAATACAAAATATGTCTAAACTATGAGGGGGAGGGGCTATGGCTGCGAGCTCTCTGTGAGGTCACAGCTCAGTGGGCTCATATCAGCCTCTAGGTTCAAGTGTGGAATCACTGAGCGGGTGGATGTCGGGTGGGGTTGCACGATGTCGGGCGCTTGGATGTCGGGTGGGGTTGGCACAATGTTGGGTGTTTGGATGTCGGACAATGGGTTAGGGTGTTGGGTAGGTGGATGTCGGGTGGGTGGGGGTTGCAGAGAGGATGCTGCACTGAAAAGCTGCCAGCTGCTTTGGTCACTCGCAGGTTTCAGGCCCTTTCTCAATTCTCAAGTGAGTCCGTGCTCGTGTACTCGGCGAGTCCGGACTTGGCGAGAACGATGTCACAGGTCTGGAGCCTCTTAATTTCACTGTGAGTAATATGTTATGAAGCTTAACTTTGATCACAGCCAAACCGGTTTACTCAGGAACAAATAAAACTGAAATACACCAAACATTAACATTTAGAAGTGAGCTAAGTGACTTACATATCATGTTTAACCTCAGTGGGGGGGTTGTAAACGATGTGCCGGGAGTCCGCTGTTCTCGCCGGCTCTAGTGATCCTCGACCTCGCTGTCTGCTATGGAGCTGGCGGGTCACAGACGTCTCCGAAAACGTCGGAGCGCATTTGGAAATATGTGATATCTTGATAAATCGAGCAGATATATGAAGTTCACACAGCTACATTCTCTCCTGAAAATAACTTAAAAGTTTATTTTGTGACCCAGAAAGAGTAATATTTAAAAGTTTTTAGCCCCGCTCGTCCGCCATTGCCACGTTTGGGTTTGGGACGAAATGCATTCTGGGATATTTAGCTGTACCAGCTACACCACCGATGCATGCTCGATAAAACGGGCGGAGCGAGAACACATCCGGGACTGTTTCGCGTTCTCGGCTTGATGCGTACTTTGAACTGGAGCAGTACTTGGTCTCCGACTGATGCATGTTGAGACAGGGCCTCAGGCTCTCGATCAGCTGCAGTAAAATGTGAAAAAGGATGCAAACAGGAAACGGAGAGTGTCCCCCTTCAAAGTAAAAGTGGTGCCTTTTTGGAACTTGCGGGTGCAGCAGTAAGACAGGTTTGCCTGTGTGTCCATGTGTAATAATGAGTGAAGGACTAATGAAAGGACCAATCACAGCTCAGTGGTGAGAGCACCGTCCTGCTGCTTCTGGACGTGAGTCATTCTGACATGAACTGAAGGTAATGACTTTGATATTTTGCGAGTTATTATTTTAAAATGTTTAATTTTTTAATTCCAGTCAATTAAATGGAGCCGTGCTTCCTGCTGAGCGCTGCTGTGACTGATTACCGCAGTCGCATAAAGTGAGCGCCGCCTTTGTTTCCCGTCACTGTTTCCTAACAACTCGCTGCTGTGTCTGAGTGCGTCTGTTCTCTCCGTGCCCATTATCCTCTCAGCCGCTCAGCTCCCCCCGCCATCACCAGCGTCGGGTTAATGAGCGCAGAGTTGACATGACGGCGTCCCCAGATCCTAATTGAAAGTGTCAGGTGGATCGGGACCCCTTGTCGAGACCTAACGACACTTTCACAACAAAAGCCACAATTTCAGGTGTCAATCCAGAACTGCGCTCTTATTTTCTTTTCCCATCACGCCGCCGTGCCGCTGCGGTTTGATTGACAGCCAATGACCCCATTTAGCAGAAGCTTTGTGTGCTTTGAAACCTCCGGCGGTGAGAAGGAAACCTGCTCACCCGAAGCTCACAGAGCGCTCTGTTCCCCTGGGAGGAGCTGAGCAGGCGACACCTCTGACACGCGGCGCTTTCATCATCCAGCAAAGAGCAGTTTTGTTAGCGAGGACCTGGAAGCGCCTTCATCTTCTCACTGCTCTGAAACAGCCAATCACCTCAACGCTGCTGTTAGCTTTAGCACAGGTGTCCTGAAGGCTCATTTCCAGCTCCAGGCTTTCGTGCTGGGACTCACTCAGGGCTAGGGATGGGTATCGTTTAGGTTTTATTGGATACCGGTGCCAAATCGGTACTTTTGGAACGGTGCTTAAAGAATGGAGAACAAACTTTGTCCAAAAACCTCGCATGTTTTTCTTTTCAGCATTCTCTTTTTTTCTGCAAAATGATAAGCACCGTCCAGCCCCACGCACGGGGCGATGCGCGCTGACTCTCTAATGGAGATTTACCACACCCGCAGTAGATGTGCTCGGTGTGAGGTCTCGCAGCAAGCTATCAAATACGGCGCATTTCTCGGCTTTTAAAAAAACGCTATGTGTCGCCAGGTGTTTCATCAGATTTGAGGTGCTACCTCCTTTGACAGTATCACAGTATCAGCTTAAAGCACTTGTTGCTGCTGAGTTTGCATCTTTTGCTGTGAAGTACAGCCAGACTTTTGACCGCTTCGTCTTGGGCATTTTTAATCTGTAGCTCTGCTCTAAAAGAACGTACGTACCTGGACCCGCCTACTACGCTTGGAAAGGTAAAATGATTGGCTAGAATCCAAAGTGTGTGACATCTCTGGAAAAATAAGCACCGAAATAAAGCAGAGGTGGATGAAGTGTTGAAGAGAGAGGGAGGGTTGAGCAGAAAGGTCAGAGCATGGAGTCAAAGATGGCGGCAGCGGCGCCTCAAGGCCTGCAAACGGGTGGATTTATGAGGCCCCGATTCGCCTAGCGTAGCCGCTGCACTGACAGTGAAGTACAAGCTGAGCGCTCTCAGCTCGCTACGACATCATCAGTACAAAAAGAAACTCATTATACATTATTGCTACCACTGCAGGCAGGTCAAAGGTCACCGCTCAGCTGATCTGCGTTGTCATAGACGAGGGAGTAACAGAATGCTTGCTGCTGTCTGTTGTCTGGGATTTGTAGTTTAATCTGTATTTTTACTTTGCTCCACACACTCAGATGACCTCGCTGGAGCAGGTCGGGGAGGAGCTGGTGGGTCAGGCTCGCTGTCCCTTCGAGTCCGGTCAGTCCAACGTGGGACTGTTCGCTGGTGAGTCGACTGTAACTGGGTCAGCGACGTTTCTATTCCAGCACACACACATAGAAAAATAGAAAGTGGTTTCTGTTTGGTCCAAACAAGGACAAACGAGGCTGAAGGAGTTTGATGTGTGGAGGTGAACAGGTGTGCTTCTTTATCATCCCGTGTAAAAATGTGACGTTATACACCTGCCATGTTTCTCAGGTGGAGACTTCTACTCGGCCACCATGACGGACTTCCTGGCCAGCGACGCCGTCATCTACAGGAGCCTGGGCGAGGGCCGCCCCGTCCTCAGGACCGTCAAATACGACTCCAAGTGGCTGCGAGGTGGGTCACGGCTCCATCGCTCGCACGTTCGGATGTCGTGCAGTTTGTTAACGCACGTAACTCGAGGGTGTCGTTTATATCGGTGTGGCTGACGTCTCGCACGGCTCACGTAAACCCGCTGAAGCCGAGGCTCACTGCGAGCCTGCTGAGGCTGTCCGCATACTTCTGCTGTGGTGAAT